TGGAGGATTGGTGTCAACTTGCAGTTGTGTACGTGCTGTCGTTGGTATTTCTGGACGGGTTGCAGGTAGTGGTCGGCTCAAGAGTCCTTTGAAGTGATCTGCCCATTGTTTAATCTGTTTTTCTTCCTTGGTGATTGGGTTCCCTTGGCTGTCTTTTGTAGGTTTCGCTTGTGTTGATATCTTCTCGGATAGAGTTTTGGTTATCTGATATAATGTCCTCAGGTGTCCTTTACCTGCTGCCTATTCAGCTTCAGTGGTGAGATTGTCGTAGAATCGTCTTTTGTCCTTCTCAGAACTCTTCTTCTTTTCTTAGTCCAGTCCTGTGTAAGTTGAGCTCAGCGTCTCTTTCTCTTGTCCGTCTTTGCATTGAATCATTTTCTCTTTCACCATTCTCCTCTCTTCTATTAATTTCCAAGTGTCCGTTGAGAGCCATTCCTTGTCTTGTCTCTTCTTTATTCCTAGAACCGTTGAACACGTTTCGTTGAGAATCGCCTTCAGAGACCTCCAATGTTCTTCCACGCATGATTCTTCAGTGCTGTCGCGTAGTGTTTCCTGCTTTGCTCTGACAGTTGCAGTGAAAGTGTCTTTTGTGGTTTTGTCCTTCAGTTTCCGAGTGTTGAACTTGCATTGTGGTCTATCTCCAGCTATCCTAGGGGCTTTTAGCTTCACCTTGAAAGTCCCTTGTACTAGATAGTGGCCTGAACCCACATCTGCTTCTCTCCTTGACCTTGTTTTCAGCAGGCTCCGTCTCCACTTTCTTGGAATTGAGATGAAGTCTATTTGGTTCTTGGTGCTTCCATCTGGTGAAATCCATGTCGTCTTGTTTATATCCTTGTGTTTGAACACACTACCGCCAATCACCAAATCATTGAAGGCGCAGAAGTCTGAGAAGAGTTCCCCATTTTCGTTCATTTCGCCGAGGGCCTCACGACCTATTGTGAGTTCTCTTCCTGTGTTGTCTCCTCCCAGCTTCGCATTCATGTCGCCCATCAGGATTTTGCTATCTCCATTTGGGACGTTGTCCATTATTGTTTAAAGTTGTCTGTAGAACGCCTCCTTCTTCTCTTGTTCTGAGGCGTTTGTAGACGCATAACATTGAATGATTGTAAGCTTTCTTCCTTTTGAGTTGATCCCGGTTGTCATTATATTGGAGGTGAATGGTTCCCACTGCATGAGAGCTTTGGCTGCTGTTGGTAACATCATGATGGCCACTCCCTCGAAGTGCTTGTGATTGTCCTCTGGGTGGCCGGAATAGATTACTGTCTCTCCAGTAGGTAGTTGGTACCTACCATATCTGTTCCATCTGCTTTCGCAGATTCATAACACTTCTATTCTGTACCTTCTCATTTCAGCGGCTATCTGGGCAACCTTTTCAGTTTCGTACATTGTACTAACATTCCAGATGCCCATCCTTACTTTTGCTTTCATCGGAAGAAGGCACATCGGCTGACTGGCTTCCCGAAGGCCTTCACCAGCTGCGGCTTTTCACTTCCCCGATTCCAGCAAAAATAAGGCTGTTGTTTATGTTTTAGAATTTTTAATGTATTTATTCGTTGAAGTTTCTCTGGCGATTTGGTTGTTTTACGGGGATGGAGTTGGTAGGACCACGCCACAACCCTCCCTCTTTATCCGGGCTTCGGACCGGCTAGAAAAGTAGAAAGCTATTAGCCTCTCAAGCTAGTAATCTGGTGAGGTTTTCGGAATATGTGGTGTGTATATTTACTGATTTCACACCAGAATAGTTTAGCATAGAACCTGAGTTAAGTCAGCATTTTTTCCCACCGTGACCTGCATTCAACCGAAAAGATATGGAATATTGATTGTTTAGATGTCACTTTAGCAAAGTTTGGGGAACGTTTCACGTTACATCACTTATTCGAACATTCTTATAATGAGATTGAAATATTTTTACAAATCCCTAGGAAACCAAACTCTTTTGCCTAAAGTCTGCATTTTGTTTAGCATGTCAAAAAGGTTGTTACTTGTTGTGCAGATAGCAAAATTCTGGAATGTCACAGATTCGAAAAATATCGCTATACAGCTTGCGCATTGGAATTTGTCACGTGATTGCAGGTTTTTAAATAGTTTAGACTTCGCAGAGTTAAAGTTCACGTTGATTACTAACTAACTGCCACATATTTACCACAGAACAATCTACGTTGTTGGTTGAAGCTGACTGTTTTGCCACTGATGAATCTGGCTGATCTGAATATCGTTGCCTCCTAACATTCCCAGTACAAAGATGATTGTACGATTTTCAGAGTTTTTCATGAGAATATGCTAAAAGGGTCAATGAAACAAAAGAATTTGTCTGATAACACTTCAACTGAACTATTGGTGTTGAAGTTCAAAATTGCCAGTTTCACGCGCTGCCCTCTGTTAGTGACAGATTATTCAAATAAAGTTTTTAATAAACCTTTGTAAGTTATCAGCCTTTCATTATAAGGACATGCAATGGGGAACCATAATTCAGTTCCTTAAATCTGGTCTAAATCAATCAATGGCTTCGATTCAAAATGTGCACACTCTAGTCACTTTCTAGCAAGATATTGACCAATGGTGAATTCTGTCTTCCTTGAGATAGGAACTCTCTAATGATGCCTATCTAGCGCATGTCTTAATCTAAACATATTATGGGAAGGACAAACGCCTTAAAACGACGAAAACCGCCGGCTTTTAAATTCGCGAATATAATTTTGCTGTTGTTACACAGTTATTCTCTCTGAATGAGCTCAGTTTGAATTTATGCTGGATGTAGAACAATTACCAGTTGAATGCCGGAAACATATTAATCTGTGATTGATCTGCTTATAATCCAGCAGCCAGTGTATTCGGAAAATAACCTCTTATCTAACCAGGAGTTATTGATGAGCGATGCATGCAACCTAGTTATCGTGAATTAATGGAAGATCCCATATGCAATCAATAATTGCGGATTCACCTCATCACATAGAGGATTAACACTGAATAACCAATTTAATTACATTTGGATGAGAGCTGTCTATTCTTCAATTATTTACTTTGTGTTTTCTCAGAAGCCTTCAATTGGTCATAAGGTGTCACCTAAAACTGTTGAATTTTACAGTTTTAGACGTTCACGTTTAAGCCTGAGACGAAATTGCTTATCGCACATTTTCCTCAAGGTAAAATAATTGAAGACTTTCAGCTAAGATTCCATAGAGATTTATTCTTCTGTGAAACTACCGGTATGCAAGTAAATATGAAAGTTTTGCTGTGAAATTATTTAATAATGAATTGGAAAAGTGAGCTGTCATAAAAATCAAGCGATGTCGTGCATATTTTAGCAAATATGTCGGCAGAAAATATGAACTTCGGAAAGAAAATTAAAAGAACCTTTAAAGCGTAGTCAACAGATGATAAACATATTAAAGGAAATCTGAGATAATCAGCTCAGCCTACACAAACTGAAACAACATAAGGTCGGGGGTTAGATTACAGGTGAGAGTTCCATAAACTTTCTGGTCAGCTGGTTTACCTTTTGAGTCCTCGAAAATCAATCCTACAATTCATCCACTGCAATTTAAAATCCGCTCAATGTAAAAAATAATTTATAGTTGTTTCAGTAAAGTGGTTAATGATCTGGAAGGGGTGATGGCAGTGACTCATTAAGGAGGAAAACTACGGCATAATGGGCATTTGATTTCAAATAAAGAAGATGGTAATTTGTTCGAATTTACCGGATCTGCAGCAGTAACCCGCCAATGCAATCACAAAATTCTGAACTGTGGTAGGACAATCATTCAAAACTGTCTTGTGTAGAAACGTAAACAAAAGGTGTGAGTACTACTAATAATAATTAGATGAACCGAGACAGGGTGTTTGCTGATGTAATCGTAGAACCCTGTGCAATATGGTAAAATAGAATTCCATATTTGATTGGTTTATTTAGATGATTTTCATACAGTGATGCAGCATCAACAACTGGATGACGTTTCAAGCATAAATTATTTCACATACATATGGTTTTTCTCTCCTCGTCGCTCCGACTTCTTTTTCTTCTTTTTGGCAACTCTTCATAATTCTGGTGTAGACATTACCTCATTCCGATTGCAAGTGTGCGGTGTTGATTCGATAAACAAAGCTTCAGTACAATTGTAAAATGTTTTATATGCAAGTTGAGTGAGATGCTGGTAACTGAATCAGTTTCATCGAATATATATCCAACAATGTGTTAAACCAAAGACGAGATGTTAATAGTAGAAATTCAAATTATTACCTTGATATGCTTATGAACAGTAGATTGTGTTCGAATTGTTATCATTATATAATACTGAATCCCTGACTCCTTCGACCAAGTAAATTTATTCTGAGATGCGAAATCACACATACTTCGGAATTCCATGCATTACCGTGTTTGAAGTGGAGTTATGAACGAATTTTCTGTACTAATGTAATTCGACTCCTTTCTATGCTGACTTGTTTTATTGTGCCTGGCGTCCTAATACTACTGGTAATTCATTTCACACTGAATATTGCAATTCGCGGAATCACCCTCACTTTAAATTAAATCCAACGTCATGATAAAATCATCTATCACGCATCTCAAACGAGTTTATTAATGTCAGTGTTTATTTAATATAAGAATGTGAATCTCGTCAATGATAGACATAATACTTGTTGAATCCATATATAGAATAATAAGTCATTGTTGATTAGCTAAAATTTCCTGACAAAAACTTTCAATAATTTTAGAGTACACAGTTCATAATCATCTAGACGAATCCATTATGTATTATAAGTACTGTCTTGGAAATAAAGTAGATTATTATTATTAAATGGTTCACAGTAAAATATTTTCACTCGTGATTAAACTATGAGACGAATTAATTATACTCCTGAACAAAAACAACATTGATGTGAAAGGGAGTTTTTACTAACAATTATTAAATACTTCACCAGGAATGTAAAAAGTTTTGAATCAAAGTTCAAAGAATGAAATGGATATATTAACATATTAGTTGAGCATCATTATAAGTCCATTCTGTAAGGTCTAGTGTAAGATGGTTGGTTTTTCGCAAGTAAGCAATTCATTTCTAATGATTTGTAGTTACCCTAACTTTCTTGTCATTATTCACAGTCTCAATGACTGCACTCTTCGTTTAATTCTAAGCATGCTAATTTTATGATTTCATGGTTTATGAAGTTTATTACTTGGTACCAATATTGAGCAGCCCTCACAATATCAGAGAATCTGTTCCTTTAAGTCTTTTTAATATTTTTAATTATTTTATTGGCGTAATATCTATCAAATTATAATAAAATAAAGTGTAACATATCTTGAGGTGGACTTGGTGTCGAAAAACCGTACATCCCGCAACATTTCTTTTATTAGGCGAGTGTATACATATCCCATTACTGATAGTGATTTCTAACATGCCGCATCTGTGAGGACATGATTTGAGAAAAATTCTTGTGATATATTGAAAATATCATTTCGAAAACCGAGGACTCTTATGTTTCCACGTGGACACTGATAGTTTTTAGCATTTTTCAATGCTGAGATATTTCTATCTTATGTCTTATTTATTACCAACTCCAACTTTTGAACCTCCCCATATATGAAATTGCCGTACAGTTAGCACATTCGTCGATGACATCACTCATTTATGTAAGCAATGTGTATGCATTAAATCATTCATGCTGACAAATAATGACGTGCTTGTATCATCTAAAATCAACATCTCAAAATTTGTTACCGCTGTGAGCAACACCTCATGATAGCTTTCTTGGTTTTGTTTCATATCAGTTACCTGTGAACGTTATCAGAAATTTTACTAACATGTAATGAATATTTTTTTTCCTTCAGGCGTACGCAAGTTTTCTTACTGAATGGAAGACATATGCAGCAATCGCTTTTCTGTAAGTCTGCTTTTTCATAATCGTTGAGGTTCACACTATTAGCAGTCTTTGACTTGAAACACCTTCAAATCGACTCCTGATTATAACCTCAAAATTGAAATCTTGAAATGGTGGAACAAAACCGGAGGGAATCAAACTAACTACTCACTAGTAGAGATGTGAAGTATTTTCTTGTTAAAAGTCAATCTGAACGAAGAATATTCTTTTCAATAATTTCTCTTCAGGTTTTTACAATTATAAAATATAATATTTGTGGTCGTTACAATGATGGCCAGTTATGCGGCGGATACATTTCGCAACGTAGAATAACAGACTAGTTATGAGATGGAAATTAAGTGCATAAAAAGCTCGATCCTGTCACAGTTGGTTGATACTCGACCTCGTATCGATATCAACACAGCTTTCAGGGTTTTATACCGAATTCCGAAGTCGTTATCACGTATGTCTCCGACACATAGCTGAAGATGTTGCAATAAGATCGACTAAACTGGAACTCTGTATCCAAAAAGAACACGTCCAGACGCTGTTCCTACCGTGGCCAACTTTGGAGTGAAGATTTTCCTTCTCACCAAGAGTGCCCTTCCCCTTAACACTCTTGGTTTTTTTTCTTGCTTTTTTACTTTGCTTATTATTATAAATATTATTATCACAGTTCTTATTATTATTCGTCATAATTTATGCCCTTTATGCAAACATTCCCTCAATACTATCGAAATTTCATTTATACGGACTTATTATTAGTGATATTATCTGTTTTCTAAATATATGCCTCCATCTGTTTCATTTAACATATTCGTTACCCCACTATGAGCCTCTCATTGCAGTCTTACTATCTCCTGTTTAACTCAGACCACTTTGTACTAGCCACTCACCTGACACCTTTTATAAGCTTGAACTGACATGTCAGTTTTCCTACCCCATACTCTACAATTCTCTTATGATTAATCACCACCACCATTGTCTCTCGTTTTACAATATTTCTAATCGATTTCAGCCTAGCTCGTTTGTCACACAAATATGACTATTTATTTTGACACCCCATAACTACTAATCTGTTATTCTACGTTAAAAATGTATCCGCCGCATACCTGGCTATCTTTATTGTAACGACAATAGATATATTATATTTTATAATTGTAAGGACCTGAAGAGAAATTATTGAAAAGAATATTCTTCGTTCAGATTGACTTATAATTTATAATATGGGGAATATTTCACACTATTTTCTAGTTGACGTAGTCACTGTCTTAGTTGGATGTTCAGCGCTGGCGATTATACAGCATTACACCTGTCTGTCTGTTGTGAATGTTGGTTTGATAAACGTTATGCGACAGAACTAACATTTGAATTAAACTGCATGTGAATTAACATCGAGTGATTCATCAATTAAGTATGTGTTGAGATTTCAGTTGAGTAAAGGCTATTTCGACTGACAGTCTTATGTGCAAAGACTCTGTATGATATTGTTACTAACGAGAACACAAACAGAAAGAGTACAGATACGATAGAAAATTCTTTCCCTCAGGACAAATAGTTGGCTTTTATTTCTTAAATGCTATTAGCAGACAAGCAGTGAATAAGTTGGATTGGAAAGAATTAATTGGACTTTTGAGAAACTGATAACTGACGAAAGGCAACAAAGTGGACGTTATTGAAATATTCGAACCGTATAGCCTAACCGGATTCATTAAATCTTAACGTATCGGACCAATAAACGCATAACCGGTGCTTTACTTTTGAAATATTATGAGTGAGTATACACTAGGAATCATGCCTCAGCCGTTTCAAATGTATGGAAACGTTTTATTATTTTTAAAGCAAATTATTTTGATGAATAAGAATAAAAAATATTAAAGAATGATGAATGTATGGCTATTGAGTGTTTCCACAAAAATAAACTCCCTTCACCTTTTGGAATATCTTATAGCTATTTTCTCTTTGTATTTCAGATTATTGACTGTGCCCCCATGCATATTGATATTCTTCGGATTCAGAAAGAATTTCAAAATTGCGATGGTCTTGATAGGAATCATAGTAAGTTCCTTAAAGATTCAAACTTATAAGTGAGCCTTGTTTCCTCAAGATTACTTTGTATCTGTTGTTGATATTCACGCGAAAATGGTTTTTATTTAAGCAGGCAACAAGGATTAATAAAGCTGGAACTAATAAATTTATCAAATGTTTGATGAAACAGCAATTTCAATAATATTGATAATAATAATAAAGGAAATAATATGGATATTAAAACGACTTAAGGTACCGATGCCGATAAAGTATGGTCTTGAATGAATGAAGGAAAATAATGCGGTAGAATAAATTATTAGCGTTGATAAAAACTGTTAATAAGGAAGGTTAATTGAACCATTTTTTTGTACACGGAGACTAAGTTTATGAACCACAATTTCGCAAGCCTTCACATTTGCATGGAGTTTCTGTTTTGTTCGTTGAGTGACAGAAGTGAAGCACTTGATAGAGTCAGTATCATGTCTTCAGTCTACAAAATATTTTGTTATTGGACTTTTTGGTACCTTGACTGTAGGTGCATTCCGTTACTTTACCAAAAGCCGCAATATGCCAATAGGCGATCGCCTTCAACTTCAGCCTACGTATTTGTTTCCACAAACCCATTTCAAAGTGTCGAAGATTGGCGACAGCTCTTTTCCAGATTATTGAAGCAGTCACTTGATGCACTCAAGGAATGCAAGTTTTGCAGACTACCGAATCTTACTTGTATATTTATCAAGTCTTTGTTTAACTAGATCTTGTACTCCATACCCTAAAGTGTGCGGACTGATATTTGCAGCTTTCTTCGAATCTGTCAGATATTTATAAGTCTCCAGACTGTTGATTTTACGAACTTCATGGAATAACTAGAGCACTGAGTTAGGTTAATCCATTTTAAAATATTTAAATGAATTCCGGCATAATTAAGATGGTTGTACTGGAGCATATTTCTTTAGAATATTTATTGATGAACCACTGACGACATCTTAAATTTGAATGAAATAACCTTCGCAGTCTCTATTGCATATTTAATTTCACTGTGAAAACAAATTTTTTGTGCTCTATTCTGAACAATATCTTCTTTTATAGGCTTCATATCATTCTTTATGCGTTTAGCTGTGAAGTTAACATTAGTATGGTATAAGATTAATTTTTCTGATTCTGATTTGTTTTATCAAATAATGAAAATACAATTCGTATACCTCAGGTAAAATACCGTTTGTAAAAATGATGTGGCGAAATATCTCTTAAATAAGAACTAAGTGATCCACTCAAATTTAAATGTAGGTTTGTTAATCACTCCAGTATGAGCGAACGTTAGGTTTATTATATGTTCTCGACTGTAAAGAACGTCTAAAACCAACTTGGACGAATCGTTTACGTCAAACGCAATCACAAGTATGCTTAATTCTTCGAACAAGCCTTCACTAAATCAAAGCAAACTAACAAACTTGTACAATGGATCAGTTTAAAATCATGATTTATGACAAAATAATTTAGGTGATATTATCTATTCTTCAAGCCATCAAGGAATTTGTTCTTTAGACCTTACCTGCACAAATCGACGTTTCCTCCCTGAGTATGTGTGTATATGATTTGATAAGTGTAGCAGGATCCACTTTTATAAATCCGGTGCTTTGGCAGTTTACAGAACAACAGAAATTGTGTTTTCTCATCTAAAACACATAATGTAACGAGAAACAGATACACTGTACACCTGTCCTTTAGGTATATGCGAGATACTGAGGATTCATTAATCCATCCTCGGTTGTAGTTATACAACGTTGTTCACACGCAATAGACACGAAACTCACATCTAAATTTGTATGAGGATTTTACGCACCAGTAAACGTAACACTGCAAGAACATCTTAACTGACATTTGTTGTTATTTTATATGAAATATCTATGTAGACATCAATTTTGTGGAAACATTTAAACACTTTTTCACTTAGATGTTCAGAATATCTATTTTATTTTGCGAACAGATTGTATTATGGTCCGCAAGTACCTGTTTTATGTATTGCAAAACGGCTGATTTTAACTGTTACTTTTTATTGGGCTTCGTTATTCTGGAAGATGTGTTAACAGTTATCGCCTGCATCTATGCCAAAAGATTCAAACTAGTGGTGATGATAGTTCTGATATCTTTATCGGTGGCTTTTCTGATAACTGGAACAGTTTTGTTTTATTTAGATGTAAGTAAGGCAATAGCATTGAAATATCAAATTAAACTTTTTATTTTATCGTTATAAGATAACTAGAATTATCAACTAAATAATACTATTACTTACACGGAATTCTGCCCTATACATATCTCTGTATTCTTAAGTCCATACATATCTGCATTGCCAGAGAAAGAGAAAGTAGGGGTATTTATGCATTATGCAATAACTGAAGTACATTTGCCCATCTGAGAAAAAGTGTCATACTTATTAGGTATGTAAAATAAAAACTAATATGTAAATTTATGATAATGACGAAACATCCTATTACACAGTGGTAAGAAATGTTAAACTTAAATTCTTGTGAAAAGATGCATTTGAAGGATCCCTAATTAATCTCACTGATTCATTGAAATAATTAGAAAACTGCGTCGTTGTATATACATATTTTACAGATCTGTTCCGTAGGAAAACATTCAGTTTGGTTGATAGGTTACTTATACTTGAATTGTGCATTTGATCTGCTGTAATTCTTGATCAACATTCTGATTGTAATTTATCTCATTTCGTTTCAGGAGAAATATTCTGAATTGGCTGGTGGCTTTTTCAACACCACCGTAGCTGTGGTAAGTTCACAGTTTTGCTTTGGAATTTATGAATTTAGTTATGAATCAGCTGTGATGTTGGATTTTAGGTGTGAAACCATAAACATTTTTAACAATGGCAATTTCTGCCTCAACAAGCCTTCATGATGTGGCTGAAGTAATTACAAATCTTCAAGTCACATTCTATACAGATCTCGATGTTGATTTTATGCATAATTTCAAATCATGAGTCGATATTAGGTCAACAGACTATCATATTTGCGACTGAAACTTACCATGTTGTTCTATTTGTTACTTTGCTTCTTTCAGTTGATTCTAGTGTTTGTCAGCTTGCTTAAATAACGCGAATATCACATGGCTGTGACAATCTTATCGTGTTAAACAACATTCACTGTAATCTCCGTCTTGTGCTAACGTACACATTTTATTGTGCGTGTAACTGCCTAACTGACTGACAGTTCACATTTTCAATTATATAATAAACTAATGGTTCTGCTCTAAAAATGTGTGCAACAATTTCTGCTGATTGGTGTTTTTCTTCCGTTTGTCTATTCACTCACCAAAAGGAATGTGAGCACGAATTGACGCCTCAAATGTGTTCAGAAGGTGAAACTGCCGATTGAATATGTGACTTAACCAGAGATGAACTGATGTCGAATACGAGTAGAAATCGAATGAAGCTGTAAAATTATTTAATTCTCAAACATAATCATCACACATGGAAATACTAAACGAAACTTGGTAGCATGAATAGGTGCTACTAAGATACACTGAAGGAAACAATTTATTGATCGTCTACTATTTGCTATGTCAGGTTGTACAGTTGTGTGGTCTTCACGAAGAACCATCACCTCATGTCGCATGGTCTCCTGTTGTCAGCATAATTGTCCGTCTTACCTCCATCGAATAATCTTGCATCGTCTCCTATCTTTTCTTGTAGGCTGTAATGATATTAAGTCATTTAATTTGCTAGCTCAGAAAAACAATGAAATTGTTCACTTAGTTCAATGAGTACTTGTGATCTGTTTTCATGCCGCTGCGCCAGCCACTTTCACATAAACTGAGATGTGACTTGTACTCATCGTCTGTAAATCCCATTTTACGTAGAAAAAATTGAACTACATTAAAAATATCGAAAGCTTCGTTTTGAACAATATGCTTACACACAATGATGAATTCTCAACGTTCTTGACAGGATCTTCTTCCTTCATTTGGTCTGATAAGTCTATTGCAGCTAGTTGGAAACTAAAAAAGATGGAGATGAGTAGTGACAACTACTTAAAGATGTAATTCAACTCTAAAAAGCACTGTGAAGCTTGGTAAATTTCAAGCAATTTCATCGATGCAAAACAAGGTAGCTCAGTGGTATTCCCAAGCAACCTGGGAGTAGATTCATGCGAGATTTGTTCTTCATGCGTCAGTTATCATGTCGCTAAGTCACAAATGGCCTTCTGTTATCAAAGTACTTCAGTAAAGTAGGGTGACAAATCGTACTTTGATGAAAATCATTGTTCTTTTGCAAAATGTGTAAAAACAACCGTCGGAATACTAAGAGGTGTAGTTTTTCCACCTTAGAGACGTGTCAACCAGGTGTTCACAAAATCAAGTTGGGACAATAGTTTTAACAAGAAACGAATACTTGGGAAGAGAATGAGGTGTGTTTGGTGATTCACCACTATTTTCGAAGCACGAACGTTTGCTGAACAATCTGCCAAATTCATTGTCAAATTTCCGGACAAAACGCATGAAATTTAGGCAGAGGCGAAACGTTTCTCTATGCTGGTCTCATCTCGTTGGCACAGGATATAAGATTGAAATTAACACAGATTTTACATATCTTTATCATGCTCAAAACCTATTCATTATTACCATCAACCCAAATTGCGTGGTCAATA